CGAAGTGGCATGGAGCTCTCAAATCATTACGGTCCAATAAGAAGTAAAAAATCCCTCCAGTCCAGGGAGCAAGTGGCGATGCGGAGAAGATCAGGCTTTTTGGGGATGTACTGGAGAGCCGATTCTCCCCAAATAGACGTAAATGAACAACAACGTATTGATTAATATGTCGATTCATAGTTTAGAGACCTTGTATAAACAATATCTCAGAACATCCCGTTTTGTAGTCCTGTGGAGTTTGATGGCCATATCAAAGCCATTAAGATTCGTAAGGCACCGGGAAGTAGTCAAATTGTAGCTAGAGCTGTTAAACTTCTATCTGAGCGATCTCGGATCTATCTGCTGACAATTATTATTGCTATCCTTCGCTTGCAATTTCTCCCTCATGATTGGAAGCTTGCATTTCGAAAAAAGAAATGGCGGCAAATCCACAAGAGTTTCGCCTGGTCAGTCTATTTTCTATTCCTAGTAAGATACTTATCTTTCATTATTTAGGAGCATCAGGGCAGGAGTTCTACACCACTCCGTCCTTGCTCCAATCTTTACATCCTCGTTCTGACCACATATGGGTGTTCCTTTACGCTGATGACATCGCTCTGGTATCTAAGTCAATACACATGCCCAAGATAATGTAAACCGCCTTCAGGAGGAGGTGGTGTGTTAGATGAAGGAATACTTTTGTATAAGTAAAGTAAATGTTAATACACAAAAAACCCAAGCAGCTTTTCTAATAAAACGTAGACATTCTGAGCAGCTGAGAGTTTCTGACCGAAAGTTTTTTTTTTATCGAAGCAGCCGCGCAGGCAGAAGCCTAAATGCCGGAACACCGCGGCTGCTACGATGACCCAAAGAAATTTTATTAATACGATTTTTGAACTGCCTAAGGTTAATAGAGCTCTGAGGAGCAAAGCCCGTTGGTGCGAAAGAGTCTCGAGACTGTCTGTTAGAGAAGAGTCATCGATCAGTCGGACCGCCCTCCTCTGGACAGCATCGAGCATGGATAATGTAGTTGGGGCGGCAACACCCCAACCGTGTGAGCAATACTCGAGGCTAGGCCTTATCTGGGCCTTGTATAGAGTGAGAAGGTCATGAGGAGAAAAGTACTTCTTAGCTCTAAACAAATAGCCTAGCTTTTTCCCAGCAGCTGCAGCTATTGACGAGATGCGTTCGTGCCAGATCAGGTCCTCCGTGATCTGGACTCCAACCAGCCGAAATGAATGGCTTTCTGGCAGAACTCGACCATCCATCGAAACCGGGTGAGCGCACGGACGCTTTTTGTTCGTCAAAGTACAGTACTGCGTTTTGGAAGCATTGAACTGTACAAGATTGTTGCGTCCCCAAGCAGTGATAGCCTCCAGGTCTCTTGTTAGAGAGGAAGTCATCGCTAGTCTTCTTTTTCCCAACTCAGCGGCAGAGATTGGCTTGCCACTCTGAATTCCTGCATGTAGAGTGCTGTCATCAGCGAAGCTGTGGATTGGGTTGATCGTGCAGGAAAGGATGTCGTTGATATCTAAGAGAAACAGTGTCAGAGCCAACACCGATCCCTGGGGAACACCCGCGTTGACGTTGCGGGATGAAGAGGAGAACCCGTCAATTACGACAGATATCTTGGGGCCAGAGATAAAGTCAGCCACTCATCTGCAAAGCTTTTCTGGGAGGCCATAAGACTGGATGAGTTTACTCCACAATTGAGTGACGTAAGCTAGGATGTCCCCTGTGGATCGTTGTCGCCGGAAACCATACTGCCTGTCGCTAATCAAGCCGTGACGTTCGAGGTAGTCCAGAAGCTCGCGATTTATGCATCTCTCTATCACCTTACTTAAAACAGATAGCAGAGCTATAGGCCTGTAGTTGTAAAGGTCGATCTTAGATCCCTTTTTTGGGATTGGTTGGACATGAGCAAATTTCCAGTTTTCTGGGAAGGTGCCGGATTCATAAGATATCTGGAAGAGACGCGAAAGACGGTGCACACCTCTTCAGTACAATGGCAGGAATCAAGTCCGGATCAGAAGCTTTGTTGATGTCGAGCGGCAAGAGCACTCGTCTTACGGTCTTATGCCTGAATGTTACCTCACGCATAGTGTAGGGAACTCTTTGAATTGACGACACTTGGGCATGGTGGAGTTGGCAGCAAGGATCTTGTCATAAAACTTGGCCTTGGCCTTTGAGTTGAACACAATAGTTCCATCCTGACACGTAAATGGTGGAAGGCTACTGTGTGAGAAGTTCTTTTCAATCTGCTTGGCCAGCGTCCAGAAAGACCGATTGCCATTGCGCTGTGACATTACCCTGTGCCTAACTTTTATATCGTTATATCGTGCAGGTTTATGGCATTGCGAACCGCTGCTTTATATTTGTTTCTGGACTCAACGTCGGCTTGTCTGTTCTCTACAGTGGGGTTTTGCAAGAAGGTTCTGTGTGCCTTGATCTTCTGCTGGCGAGCAGCGTCACACGATTTGTTAAACCAGCCGTTGGACCCTGGTCTAGGCACTTTCACTGTGTGAGGGATGTATTCCTCCATTCAGACGTGGATAATTTCGGTTATCGAAGAACAGACAGCCGACGCATCCGCGTCAGTGAAACAGACATCTTTCACATCTTTCCAAGGAAAGCTAGAGAAGAAGTCTCTGAGCCGCTCCCAGTCGGCATGTCCGTAATGCCAAGTTTTGCGGCCTGTACGGGTTTCTGCTGCCACAGCGGGTTCTGACCGAAACCTAACCTCCACAACACCGTGGTCTGAGTTACCCAGGAGGGACAGGACAGCAGTACTGTAAGGGACAGGATGCGTGGTCAAAAAGGGATCCAGCAGGTTACTGGCGTGTAACGAGACGCGGGGGAAAAAAGTAGGGCTCGTCACCAGCTGAGTCAGCTCTTGGGTAAGAGCGAACGCTTCAACTGCACGACCTGCTGCGTCGGTCTTGTTTGAGCCCAACCAAAGCTCATTATGGGCATTGAAATCACCGAGAAGAACTACCTTTGAAGCGGGATGATTGATGTTCAGGAAGTTGATCTGGACGGCGAGGTATTCGAGAAGGTCGTCCCAGTTATGGTCTGAGGGAGAGCGATAAAGGCAGCAAATAAATTTGGGTGATGTTTTGGAGTTGTGGCGAAGCCACAGAAAGTCCTTCCGGCCTGATTCCAAAGAAGAATCTCTGGTTGCAGGTAGTGATGAACAGCATCAATGCTGCTGTTAATCCCGCAGATGTTCGAAAAATAAATTTTATCGTCGATGTTGTTCCCTCGAGCACACCCTCCACCCGGACATTCCGAGAGTGGAGTGAGTTTACGTCCGAAGTTCTTAGTGCTCGAGGGATCAATGATCATTAATTTTTTTGTTTTTGAAGATAACCGACTGCATAGCTTAGGTGTGGAAACATGCGGACATTTATAAGACACCCTGGGAAAAGCTAGCGCGTGGTACTGCCTCGGTCGACTGGTCCTTGTCTGCCACCTTCTTTCTACGTGTTAGTGATGTTAAATAGACCTAAAGTGTCCCATTGGCGGACTTGTACCGCCACCCGGCAATCGGTACTGAGGTATTCCTTAACGCGTGTACAATCAATTGAACGGGAAGAAGTTGTATACTGGATACAACAACTTCCGGAACAAGCATTTGCCACCGCCCCGCTCAGTAGGGGTAACATTATATGGTAGTTGGAGGTAAAGTATTTGGGGTTGATAATCGACAGAAAATTAACCTAGAACGCCATGTTATGTCTGTTCGAAACTAGGCTGTGGGGAGTTTTAAACGATTTTACCCCCTGTTAAGGTGAAATAGCTGATTATCAACCTCAAATAAATTACCCTTATACAAATCCATTATTAGACCTATCGTGACGTATGCATGTGCGGTTCAAAACTTTAATGCATATGCATGCGTAAGAGGTAATCCAACATAGAGCTCTGGGTTCCATCACGGCAGCTGCATAGTATGTTTCACAAGCTACTTTCAGATCTCTCTATCAAATAACTTGCAACTAAGGAATATGCAAGAGCAGACAGCCATTCTAACCCTCTGGAAAGGGAGGCTGTGAATTACTCTGTGGCTGATGTTCAAAAACACAAACGTCCAAGGCTAGTCCTACAATGATCAGTGCACCTTTATTAATAGCTGCGTTTCTATCCACAATTTCAACATGTACTGGTAAGGTTTGGTTTATGCTCCTTCTGCAAGGACCATTTTATTTGGAAAAACGAGCTAAAGACTCACGTTCTGTTTGGTATGCGTAGATGTCAGATGTCCCTGTGGTTAGCTTCCCACGGTGTAAGCATGGCCAAAGGCAGCGACGTCCACTTTTGCTCCCGCTAGGCGGCCATAGTGTGGATAGGTATCAAACTGCCAAAATTAGATGGAAGAGACGCAGATGTTTTAGAAGGTAATTATTTAGAAAGTATTTATTACGATACTTCATCACATTTCGAAGTCTGTCGACGCGAACAGCTGATGAGCAATTGACATCTTTGTTTAATTCCTTAAACATGATCGCCAACCTAACTCTATCGACTTATATACAGGGTGACTTCGAAGTTGAGTCATTTATTTTAACAGTGAGTAGATCTGATCAAAAGAAATGTTTTTTCCTATAACATTTTTCTGGTAAAATTAAAGTAACAGTTATAGCCCTTTAGAAGTTTGAGTACCGCCCTGTCTCAATAATAATATTATGTGCTCGTGTTTGGCAACAAGCCCAGCTCTGCGTCGAGCAAAACGGAAATAATTTCGAACAGTTTTTGTGACATGCATTTGGGCGCACAGGTCCACACTGAAATACTTGTCGGGAGGATACTTTATAAAACAAGGTAACATTTTTTTTAATTTTTCTTTTGATTTTTACACGCATATTTTGGTTTACCTTCCTTCTACAGTATTATTATCTGAAAATTAATGACTCAACTTCAAAGTCACCTTATAGCTTTTCAGATTACCCCCATTATTAAACATAGACACAGGTTATTGCATCTACGATTTTCTTTAAATACTTCATTTATGTCTTTTACAGTATTGTCAGCCTCTCTTACCTAGCGAATACCATCTGGAACGCTGTAGGAGGCAGTGAGGTATGAAGCGAATGTGTGGGACTCTTTATTGCAGTTGCGCCATGAAACCCTCAATATAATTTTATAGCACATCTCGGTAGACGCTCTAGTAAATCTCTCCAAGAGAATAACATACCGGCCCGTGATGTATTAAATATTGTGAAGTATATTTATCCATAGCCCGTAAATACTAACCGTATCAAAAGAGCTCCTACTTCGGCGGTACACTTTTTCACCCACTTCCTGTTTATTATGTTGACGCTCCACCTTCGAAAACACACATAATGCAGCTATCATCCATAACCGGTAAATATATTGAAAATTATGAGCAAAGTTTAGGGCGGAGGAAAACCGACAGGGGTTTGTAGAGGGTGGATCCATATACGTTTTAAGGTAACTTTTGTGGATATATTCGAGCCAATATATATGTGGCATTGTTTCTGGACATGCATGTCAGCCTATAGTATACAAACTACAAGCTGTATGGAAACAACATCCAAAGGTCTCTATTGCTTATTCAGAATTAATTTGGAGATAATCGAATTTGGAGACATCTGTCAGGTGAGCTAGTTCATACCGACAAACTTCATCCTTAACGAAAGTACTGCCATCTTGCTTTTGGATGTCATAAAAGCATTTGACAAGGTGTGGCATGCGGGCGTCCTGTCTAAAGTAACCCAAAGGAGCTGCTCCTTTTGACTTCTAAAACTACTAAAATCCTTCCATGAAGGTAGAGAATTTCGGACTAAAGTTGACAAAGTCCTGTCGATAACACGGCCCATCACAGCTGGTGTCCCTCTGGGTTCAGTCCTTAGACTAACCGTTTACCCACTGTACATCCATGAAATCTCTAGCCCCAGCAACTATGAAGTCTATCATTATGCTAACGATACTGCATTGGTGGACGTATTGGAGTGGGTGGATTGGTGGATGATTAAAAGTAACCATTCGGAAACACAGGCAATCTATTGTACGAGAAGACGTCGCTGCGCCCCGTCTGAGGATTCATTGAAAGGAGTTCCTATACTATGGGAAGTTTCTTGGTGGACTAAGGGATGACTTGGCGGAATCATATTGAAGCAATCAAAACTAAATTCCAAATTATGTTGCGACAGCTTTACCCATTACTATGTAAACGTTCAAAATTAAGTCTGATCAACAAACTTCGGCTCTATAAGGTGGACAGACGACCATCAATGACTTACGCTTGTTGTGCTCTAGGAGTATTATTGACGCCCCATAGTATGTTTCTAAAGAAACTCTTCATAGAGTCTTCGATGTCCCAATCGAGCAAATTCGCAATCACATAAATCTGCAATTATAATCAATTCGTGAACTTAGAAAAACCAAAATTGAAGTATCTTGACAAAACCTTTACAAAAATAAAATATTGTTAGACCACATCAAAATCTGTCAAGTGATTTTCACAATGCCTAAGCGCTCTCTGTCGAAAAAGATTCTCTCCTTCTTCTTTGCTCCCTTTCTTTCGCTTTTTTTCCGTAAAGTTGGTCTGGTTTCTGAGTTACCAGACCTGACAGACTTATAAACTGACACTATCACAAAAAGGCTAAGGCCCCACGATCTGCTCTGACAATCAACGATGATTTGATTGATCAACAAACTTTCTTTCGCACTATGTGAGACCGCAGTCGGTGGATCGTACGTTGTACGAAAGACAAAGGTTATCGCTCACCTTTGCAACAGATGTAAACACGATTTCTCCATCATTATACAACAAGCTGTTGGCTTTTTGCGTAACATGATGATAGCATGGTCAGAGGTCTTATACTCAAGCCGGCGATTTGCCTTTTCCAGCTAAAGGACACCAAATCTGAAGACACTGCACGTGAGTAACCAGCATCTATGTCACTGGAGAACTGACTCTTAATCATGCTGTAGCCGAGTGAAGTTGTCACAGGGTTATAGAGCATAAACAGAGCACGTAGATGAGATGAACGTTGGTGAGCGAATAAAAGCTGGTTGAGCTGTATCCTCTGATGACCCTGCTCAAAATGGCCTTACCTCGGATGGTGGAGGTCTTCGCGGTCTCCGTTTCTCCTGGGAACTCCTTGGTGACGCCAGCTCGTCTCTCGCTTGTGAGTTATAAATCTAAATAGGGCGGCACTTAAAGCGTGTATCCAGTGGTGGTACTTGTAGAAATTGGGGGCTGCGGCATATTCGAAACTCTTGCGATTTTACCAAAACTCACTCCCTTGTGGTCTACAATTGGAGGTTAATAATCATGAACATTATCCTGAGCATCAGGCGACAGGAGTGTACATCATCCTTAAACTATTTTTTATTTCCTAGCGACACCGATACATGTCTGATTCGTTTTGCACAAAGTAGCTATAGTAAGTAGCTAGTTTGGTTATACGAGGGTTGATCTCTACGCTTCGCCCCTGACACCATGTGCAAATGCTTATTTGTCGGATGTTTCTGAAAGTAGTGACTTTAGATTGCATTAACAAAATAATAAGTTAGTATGTCAAACTGTGTTGAAGTTATGCACTATGGAGCCCATATACCAGGAGAACCGACGACAGTGCTAGGTATTCGTGCTATAAAAACAACTTCGAAACTTGAGTACCAGTGGTGCTTTGACAGGGTTGCTATGATCCTCTTGCTGTGAATAGTCGGTTTGTGAAGAACTGTTGAAAGACCTTCCGTTGTGCGCTGATGAATTGTTTAACGCAGGGAAACAGCAACATGTTCAATACTTGGAATTCCTGCTATTCTCCAAAATACTGGTGAAAAACTCAATCCCCTGTCCAGAGACCGGCCAGATTTGGATTAAGACATTGAAGATAGAAGAATAACCAAAATATGCAAGAATTTGGTCCAGGCGTTTTAGAAAACGTAACTTCTTGAGAAGCAAAACGTGTAGGGTTACTCGCCAAAAGCGTGACTTATAAATATGGAAACAGAAGCTATTAGTAAAACCTGCAAGTCTGCACCTAGGTGATTAGTTTATAAGGCCTTACGCGGGAGATTTCACGATTTAGTTTAGTATCTGACTGTAGTATCAGCACAAGTGCGTTTGAAATTGAAATTTGTACTTACTTTAGACAGCCTACGCATGCGCAGTAGCTGGTACGCACTTCGATCACTGCGCCCTCGGTCAGGCTTCAAGTTTTGGGACCATTTCGCTGGTTCTCCTGGAATATAGGCTCGATAGGCACTTTTAGTTCACGTGACAAGGATCTTAATACAAACGGATCCCGTTAAGTCTAAAATGACTGCAAAAAAAGAAGAGTATGGCGCCTACTGCAATCCATCAAAATATTATGGGGAATATTGAAGGATGTGAAGCAGGAGTCATACGTTGGGTGTCGCAATTTTAAGTGCGGAAAGATATCTTGTGAAGAATAACATGACTGTGGACCTCCTATAACGGCATTGACTGACCAAAATATTAAATTCGCTGTAAGTACATTATGCACACTTAATCTAAAAATTTCGAGTTACTTTCAAAGAAAAACTTCGAGGAAAGATAACAGAAGTATTATCCACATTTACTAGTTATGGCCCCAGTAATTTTATAACATTTCCAAAATTAAACCAAAATTTACACAGGTAGAGAAGCATTTTTCAGTATTCGTACAACATTTTTATAGGGATGCTATTGAAATCTGAAGCACTGGTTAGATCATTCTTTCCAAGTCTGCTAAAAATTAAATAATATTTGGGAAAATCGTTCTGTGACTCAAGAGTGCTCCTCAGTATGTGCTGAAAATCGTGTCGAATACTGAAGTATCAGGGGGTCACTCTGTACGATGCAAACTATATCCAAAGTTTGGGTAGCAGGAAGACTGGTACGTACAGTTTTCTACTTGAGCTTATACAAAATAAATAGATGCCGGAGTTTATGCCGGAGTTTGAGCTGTTACCTAGTTTCTGAAAGGAAGCGCAGGTATGATTTATAAATGATATAAAGGCAGCCATAGTGATTTAACTGCATATAGCAAAAACGAAAGGCCTGTAGGCTATCACTGCCTGAGGAACAGTTATTTGGTGCAGTTTAACGCTTGGAGATACAGGATTGTCTATGGACGGCCGAGCTTTGCTTGGAAGCGATACGTTCAGACTTGATATAGCTGCCAACTGACACATTAAATCATGATAAAAAAGGGTAGAAACCAGTTCAACCTAAAGATTTTTTATATGAATATGTCTCTTCTAATGAAGGTGAAAGTATTTCAAGAAGTACCTGATACTTATAACCATCGAACTAGACATAATTATTTTTTAGAGTCATATGGAAATAAAGGTCTCGATTTGTGCATTAATACTGTAAACGTGCTCTCTTCTTGCGATTGACTAGTACATTTTTTTGAAAAGGAATGGCATTAAAACACTGAAGAAGTAATGCGTTCCGCCTTCATTTGCAAAGCATCGAGAGACTGACATTGACATGAAATGGCTACCCTCATTGTATATGAGAACATGCTAACAAAAGTCCTACCATCAATGCAAAGCCAGTTGCTCAAGTTATAGAATATTGAAGGAAGAAAGAAGAAATCAATAAAAATAATGGGTAGATACGATAAATAGGACATTAGGTCCAAGGGCTTATACTGTTAGCTTGGTATGAATATACAGGGTGTACTCAAATTTATTGACTTTTCTTTACGAGAGAATAGGCAATAATAACTAAATTTTCCTAATAACACATATACCAGAGCCTTAACGTAACCGAGATATTAAGTTCCGAAAAATCTAAACTAAACGGGCCAGCGCTACCCAGCGTCCCCTCCCCCACCTCCTTCCCCTCCTCCTCCGTGAAAGTGTATGATGTTTTGTTGTACGTAGTGTATGTGTATTGCTTAACCTGCTTTATAAACAAGTCCCATTTGAAAAACTGAAATTGGCGCATTCCTAGAACAATCACGTAGTTATCGATTTGATGTTATCTTACTGTGAGCGACTTCAAAATCCTGTTGATACTCCGCAAGTGTCTTTACAACGTCGTTCTCGATGTTTCCAACAGAGCTGCTTAGACTTGTTTATATCGTTTACTTATGGGTGGATACAGTAGAAGACCTAGACGGTTCCAAGTGCTGCAAATTTAGGAAAAAGTAGGAAAACTCATGTTTTTTAAACGAACAGCGACAACTTCAAAAACCATTTACAAATATACTGAGTGACAAAAAAAGGTATGTTGATCCGATTTTAATAATTTTTGGCATATATGTTCAGTGTCCGTTACTAGTAAAATGATTAAATGTCCAACTTGATTCGTCAACTGCCTGCAGAAGCTGGTTCATTAATGCGTTGAGGATCCTTCTTATACACTCATTGACACGCCTGGGCGTCGTGCTGATAAGGTGGTCGATAACCTGTTGGGGCATCTCATTCCAGACTACTGCAACTTCGTGAGTAAGAGCACTAAAGCCTGACTAGTGTGTTGCAAATTCAAGAGCCTGCGACATATCTGGTGCCAGACATGCTCAATTGGAGATAGGTCAGGCGATCGTGGCGGCCAAGGTTGATGCGATGTTGATCCATGAAGGCTAACGATGCTCTGGTAATATGCAGTCTGGCATTGTCTTGCAGAAAAATCTGGTTTTGGATAGTGTTTTGGTATGGAATAAGATGAGGTTCCACTACTTCCTGAATATAGCGTCGGACTGTCATATTGCCTCTGATAAAAACTAGTGGTGATCTGCTACCATAATCAATAGCACCCCATACCATAACTCCCATGGTGTGGTGAACGTGACGGTTTCTGTCAAATTGTGGGTCACGTCTTTCAAGACAAGACAATTCGACTCCTCTCAAAATGACCCGACGAACTCGATGCACTCTAGGCATTTTGAACAATCACAAAAAGGCTTCTCAATAAGCTACACGAAACTTAACATTTAACTGGCACCACAGCCTGTTCAGATGAGGCGTTTTGACTCGCGCGTAGACACTCGCGCGTTCTCGAGATACTATAGACACAATCATCCCGTCGAGATGCTGCGTCGCGTTTTACAACTCGCGCGTAAAACGCGTGCAGCCAGCGAGACTCTCGACTCGCGCGTTTTACGCGTTTTACGCGCGAGTCGAGATACATTGGGTGGCATTGCGGCGTCCAGTACTTCCCGCGCTTTGGTGGCGATAGGACGTATTTAGTAGAAAATGGAGCGTCATAGCTTTGATACCGAACTCTTCATCGATGAAGTGGAGAAAAGAGCAGCCATATGGGATATGGAGTCAGCCGATTATGCAAATAGAGTCATAAAACGTAGGAACTGCGAAGAAATAGTTGAAATTTTTTTCCGAAGAAAAGAAACAAACTTTAGGTGAATAGTTTATTTAATATTATTTCTCAGATTACACAGGTGTACATAGGTAACTCATATTTATGACTATTTAACTATATCATCTTATCTTGCCAAGGGAGTTTGCCTTCATTAACAAAATAATCAGCGAATTTGTCTCTTGTATTCAGCGATCTCGCATTAGGCGTCCCTGCCTCAGTATTAAAATTGATCAAAGGTGTTTCGTATAGAGTGTGGTCATATCTATAACCATCCCTCAATCTTACGTAATTATGAAGGACACAGCAAGCTTTAATAATATTTTCTGCAAACTCTATGTCTACATTCAACGGTCTATGGAATATTCTCCATTTATTCACCAATATGCCAAAGCAACATTCAATGTAACGCCTTGCCCTGGATAAGCGATAGTTGAAAATTCTTTTCTTGGTTGTTAGAGACCTACCACAATAAGGACGCATTATGTTTTCAGACAGACTGAACGCCTCATCTCCTACTATCACATGGGGTAAAGGAGTTATATCTGTTGGCGATATTGGTTTTGGGTCTGGAATATCTAAAGTTTTCTCGACAAGTTTTTTATAAAAATCAGAATCTTTAAAAATTGTGGAGTCATTACTTTTTCCATATGCGCCGATATCAACTGCAATGAAACAATAATTTGCATCGCATACAGCCAACAAAACAGTTGAAAAATAATTTTTATAGTTATAAAAAAGAGACCCAGTATTGTTAGGTTTTATAATACGGATATGCTTGCCATCAATGGCGCCAATACAATTTGGAAAGTTTGTGTATTTTTGAAATTGTTGCGAAATTTCTTCCCATTTATCCTTCGTAGGTTCACTCATTACTATATTGTGCAGTTTTTTCCATATGACGTAACAGGTTTTCTGTACTATTTCCGTAACTGTGGATTTTCCCAATCTGTAGGCATAATGCAGGTCCGCAAAATAACATCCGGTAGCCAAATATCTGAAACGAAAGTAGGGTTATTATTTTTTTAGTAGCTAAGCATGAGAATACATGCATAAATATTCAGTTTGACCATTGTAATCCTTTTATTGATTACAGGGAATTCACTGCAACAGAAGTGGAAAGGATTGCGTGATGGCTTTGTAAGAGAACTGAAGAGGAGGAAAACCACACCGTCTGGATCAGGAGCGCCCGGTAAAGGCAAATATATTTATTTTGAACGCTTGATGTTCCTCGAACGATCAACACGAAATAAAACGACTGACAGCAACATCAACACCACGCCTCGTGCAACTGAACAACAGGACCTTTCTGGCAATGGGGAAGATGTAACAAGACCTCCAGTTCGTCAGGCAAAAAAGAAGAAAAAACTAGATGCGGCCGACGAAGAATTTCTCACCATCATAAAAAAGAAATTTCTGTCTAGAAATTAAACGCAGACATTAAACCAAGCGGAGTCAGATGATGATAAACTATTTTGTTTGTCGTTACACAAGGAGCTTCTTAAAGTACCAGAGGAAAACAGACTTCAAACAAAAATTGAATTAATGAACGTACTCCAAGCTCACCAAGCCCTGTGTCATAAATCCTCAGCTGTTCGTTCTGCCTACCCGCCTTCAACACAATATCATTATCAAGCAGATATGACACCACTCGGACAAATAGGTCATTTTCAAGAAACAGGATATAACGCAATAGACCCTTCAGCGTCTTCGTTTGCACCTGCAACCTTTTCGACTTACAGTAGAGGTTATTACACTGCGCAGCGCAATACTCCACCAACGACGTCTGCCTACCTTCAATCCAACAACCACATCACCGGCATCTGCTCAATGTTCACGAGAATCTGAATTGACGGAACTGTATGAATAACTAAAAATATCAAGTACCTACCTATATTTATTAGAATGATTCCTAATTTTGTGTTCACATTATTATTTATTTTTGATTTTTAGTTTTAAGGTACAAAATTTTTAAAGGCATTAAACAATAAAAAATATTACCTCACAGTGAGTTTTTCTTCTGCAGAAACAGTATCCCGTACCAAATAATTTTGACATGGAGTCAAACCATTTTGAATAATTTCTAGTAACTCATCGGACGATGTTACTGACATCCGAAAGTAGTTGAAAAACTTTTCATTGTGTTCTCTGAGCTTTGGGTATAATGTTATAAACATGCTAGGCGTCATTCTATCACGTAGAATTGGATGCACGTTAAATCGTCGACTTTCTCTTCGCTTACGACGTTTCCATCGACGATAAGCAAGCCACAACACAACCGCTCTATCCAAGTCCATATTTATAACTGCCTGTTTGTCAGGAAATCCCTCCCTGCGTAGAAACGCGCGTAAAACGCGGTATCTGGAAGCAATATAAATTGACTCGCGCGTAAAACGCCTTATCTGAACAGGCTCTAATGTACGAAAAATGAATGCTTCTTTATCACCAAACAATACACGCAGCCACCACAAAAACTTAACAGAAAAACCTGACCAGTTTATCAGTTGAATTCTAATAAACATACGTAGGTGTTTACCTTTTTTGTCACTTCTTCCACCGCAGTTGTTTCTGAAAAGGAAAGTCCCAACCATCAGGACACCTTGTATACTCTGGGTAGCCAATCAATGCTAATATACACCAAATTCTACTCTTCGAGTTGGACGATGGAACAGTTTCGCCAAGTAAGAGAACTTACAATCCACCTTTCTTTTCCGTCAGCTCTCATATTCTCAACTCTAATACCTAGCAACACGACTCAAAATGACGTTGATGGTATTGTGCGTCATTAGACGAAGTCATCGTTAAATGAATAAGATATATAGTCAAAGCATCATTATCTGCTGAGCATACGACCGAGCTGTAACTACAAATGGAATTGAAAAGCGAAAAGGCTTGGAGGGACCTTGTTAGTATACGCTAATGGTATTTCTCGTGAATGTATATGAGGGAGGTTATTAAACTGGAAAATTTTGTCAGGTAGATTAACTTCTCACGGAATAATATTAAAGTTGAAACAAGGAAGAGGTTCTTTTGATCTCTGACATACTTTTTTACTGAAAACCTCTTTTGAAAATGTTGCAACGCGACGTCCTTCATCAAATCCGATACGTTCACCTTCTTGTACGTTCTAAAAATCATGTCAGCTGTCGGGAAATTAACCTATGTTTTACGCTCTACAGGGTGTTCTTGAAATCGACACTTCCATTCACATGGCGTGTAGTTCTTGTAAATATACTAAGTGACATATAAATCCGAACACCCAGTTTAAATGGTTTTATTTTAATAAAAGTTGGTGAATGTATTTATCTTACTGTAAATAACAAGTGAAAAAATTTTCAGCCTTATCAGTTGGACATTCCGGTTTTTATACTGCTTTTTTTTAATTCACTAACGCTCTAAAAATGAATATTTCAGCCGCAGTAAAGAATCAACGTTGGCAGATTTTGGTTCTTGACATCCTTTACGATCGGTTACGATGCCTAGAGTACGGAGATCTGTAAGATTCCGTCAATTTAGTGAGTTTGATAGGGGCCGTATAGTGGGACTTCGGGAAGCTGGACTTTCTTTTCGGGCAATTGCAGTTAGAGTGCGAAGAAGTGTAGACACTGTGGTAAGGTGTTGTCAGGCATGGCTTCGAGAAGGCCGTACGCAAAGAGCAAGGGGCACTGGACGCCGCCGTAGAACAACAGACCGTGAAGATCGCCGCCTAAGATTATTGGCCTTAAGGGACCGTTTCTCCACTACCAGGTCCATTGCAAATGAATGGTTTGCAGTACACGGAAGACCTATTGGCATTCGAAGTGTTTACCGACGAATGAGAAGTTTTGGCTTGTTTTCATACCAGCCACACTGGGTCCTCCCTTTAACTCGAGAACACCGACGTAATCGCCTTGAGTGGTGCAGACAACGGTCACTCTGGGATCAGGAATGGAACAGTATTGTCTTTAGTGACGAGTCTCGATTTTGTTTAGGCATGCACGATGGTCGTGCCAGGGTTAGAAGGCGACGTGGTGGAAGGAGGAATCCACAGTTTTTTGTTGAAAGACATGTTCATCACACTGTTGGAGTTATGGTTTGGGGTGCTATAGCTTATGGTTCCAAGTCACCATTAATCTTCATCAGAGGTAACATGAACGAGCAGCGTTATATCCACGAAGTTCTAGAACCCCATCTTTTACCCTATCTTGACACCCTGGCAGATCCAACTTTCCAACAAGATAATGCCCGACCACATGTTGCAAGAGTCACAATAGACTTCTTTCAACATAATGATGTCACATTGTTACCATGGCCACCAAGATCTCCCGACTTATCCCCAATTGAGCATGTGTGGGATATGATGGGTAGGAGATTGCTCAATTTGCAACGTCCTCCTCAGACTCTAGAAGCACTTCGAGATGAGTTGGTGGAATGAGATACCTCAGGAGGACATTGACCACCTGATCAGAAGCATGCCTAGGCGCGTTGGAGAATGCGTAGCACATCAGGGTGCATCCAGACATTATTAAAGGTCAAAGGGCTTTAAAGCAGTGCAATCATTTTGAAATTTTTATCATTTACTTATTATGCTTCATTAAGTACTTATACAAAATTTTATTAAAATAAAACCATTTAAACTGGGTGTTCGGATTTATATGTCACTTAGTATATATGCAACTTTTCATAGCAACGCGTACACCAGTTTTAAGTTAATCGACCTAAGTGGCAGTTACTTCAAAGTTAAAGTAAATAGTGAGTAAACACAGGGCTCAGGGACAAGTAGTATTGTGGAAACTTGGATGAAAAACAAAGAATAATCGTTGACGTGTCCTCAATAAAGGAACAGGAGCAGAAATAGAAGGATCGGTAGTACGAGAGTCGCACGTTTCACCTCAGTGGCTTCATCAGGCACGTGCACCGAAAACACCGAACACATATGCCCATCACACCTGGATACAGCGCCCGATCTAGGGGGGGGGGCAAGCCGGGGCGGCAAAAATGAGGGCGGCACGGCGTCGGTGGTGAAAATTTGAACGATGGTTAAATAAAACAAAAAAACACACCCTACACAAAAGTTGTTATAAATTTCACATCATATTTTTGTAGATCACAAAAATAAAATGTGGTTACACTGCGTCCTTCAAGCTATGCTAGATGCTTTGCAGGATGGTGCATACAGCACGATCGGGCATGATGGCCGTGCGCGGTCGCGCGGACGCGGATGGACTGCAAGATGAATGGTGCGTAGAGGCCCTTAGTTTCCTGGGATTGGCAACACTGGTTGCATGCAACGGTGGATTCCCCTAGGTCTGTCTTCTCATCTATAAACGTTCAAAGATACAAATACATTTCTTTCCCTCACGCTAGTCAGTTGCAGTTTCTTTATACCTCTGTTGTTTTCTATTCTATCAATTTAATTTAACGCCTATCTTTATCTACCTTACGAGATTATAGAAGTAATGAATTAATTAAAGTTAAAGTTCGAAAGTCCTAAAATTGAAAATTGGATGTTAGTGGCAGACAGATGAATCATAAAAATATGCGATTGTTATGTGTGACGAGACTACTAAGTAAGTACTACCCTCTCTATAACACTTGTTTATAAAAATAAACAGTGTCATAAAAAATTGTGAATAAAGAATAAAATTTATTTTTGAAATGTACCGTGTTGGGTATCAAATGTAAGGGCTTCATTAACACATACGAGTATATAGGGTGACATTTAATTAACTCTTTTCAGCTTAAGGGGTCAATGTACTCATGTATACGACCTTTACTATGGGACCAACTTAGAAAACGCGAAAAAAAAATCAGCTGCTCTATAATTGTAAAATGACAATCCGGTCGTCCAAAATGTATGGAACAGCTGATTTTTTTGCGCGATTTAGAAGTTGGTCCCATAGTAAAAGTTGTTCGTATACATGAGTGTATTGACCCTTTAGGCTGACAAGAGTCAATTAAATATATATATTACTAGCTAGTGTTCCTGGGTTTATTTGAAAAATGATTAAAATAAAATAAAAAGTTGATTATTGAAAAAATCGGGCTTTGAAAAGTACGACACAAGCAAATATTCTAGGAAAACCGTGGTCGCATACCACCTTGCCTTACAATATGAGCGACTATGAGGGTCTACATAACCTAAGGCAAGATGGCAGGTGACCACGGTTATCCTCTAAATATCCAAATCCACTAAAGTATATTTGCTTGTTTCGTACCTTTCAAAGCCCGATTTTTTGCGTAGTCGGGTTTTAGTTTATCAACTTTTTATTTTTTTGTGTGACAGAATGTCTGATTTTAGAGCACGCTTGTTGGGCTACCAATACAAAAAACGACGGCTCGAAGAAGCAAGAAACTGACGCAGCATCTGCGTCTAAACCTCATAATGAAGATACGCTGAATATAATTTGTGAACCTTCTGCTTCTGAGTCAAGTGCTGTTACAGATGCTATTGCCATTGCAATTGCAACTACAGTATATTCAGATAAGAGATAGACCGGATGTAAACAAAAGGTCCGGTGATTTTCACGCTAACGCCGCCGTCTCGACGTAAAACAGGAGCCCTCATTGGTCAATTCGCAATTAAATGCCTATGCCGAGTGGCAGAGCAGTCGTATCAAGGCAGAGTCACATTCAGGTTCAGACGTGTTACGTATGTCGTGTGCATCATTGCAATTTGATATTTCTTTGGACGTTTTCGTTTGTTATCTTATTAATTGTTGAGTTTGTCGTTGTTATTGTTATACCTTGTTATTGATTGTTATTGTTATCAACTGCTTGCGCAAAATCCAGTACAGTAGTACAGCTACTGCCGATGAAGTTGTAAACTCCTGTAGTCGACCTAGGAAACGCTCTAAAAAAAGACACCT